GAGGCAACTGAGGCTCTTGAAGTAGGAGGGAGAGCTCTGAAGTGCTGGACTGAGGAGAGGGGTCGGTGGCAGAGCTGAAGTCTTTGATTAGACCAACAGGATTCTGGCAAAAACAATTTTCTTTGTCTGAGGAGAGGAGAGGCAAGGACCCGCGTGCCCTCACGTGGGGAGCAGGAGAGACGCTGCAGCTGCGACGGGCCAGGCCTGATGCCAGATGAGGGGGCTTCTCGAGTGCACGTCAGCTTTTTCTGCGGGGCAGGGGTCTTTTGTTGGACCGACTATGTGGCTGGGACAGAGGCAGGCAGGCTTTCCAAAGCAAACCTAAGCAGGGAGCTGCCCCCCGCGGCCCTGCCTTCCTCCCCGCGTTGCGCGCGCAAATGTGGGGGAGCCGCGGGTTGCTTCCACGTTGTGCCTAGGGAGCAAAGCCGTTGCAGTTTGGGGGAGCGGGGGGAGGATCTTGCCTTCGTCCTCGCCCTCTCCCGGGGCGGGTGCAGGGTCCCCCTCGACTGGGAGAAGGAGGGAACCAGTTCCCCTTCACCCCGCCGGCCTGGGAGGGGAGGGACTGAGCCGCACAGCGAAACTGGGGCGTGTCCAGGCGCCTCCCGGGCGCCGCTAGGCCGGTGTCCACGTGCTGGGCTGCCGGGCGCTCACGCGGAAGCCGGCCTGCCAATGGCAAGCCGGCCGAGCTCCAGGCGCGACCATTGGCTGCGGCGCGGTTCCATGGGTGGAACGCCCGGGCGCCCTTAAGAAGTAGGGAGTGGCCGGGCTGTTGGTCTCATCTGCCGCTGCAGCACGTCGGGGATTAGGGGCTGTGGCAGGCCCCCGCCGGGCCAATGCATTGTACCAGGTAGGAGGGAGATCGGAGCCCCCCCGGGAGCTGGGGGGCAGCGGGGTCCCTGGGGGCTGCGGCGATATCCACCTTTGTCCCAGGCTGGGGGCTGGGAGGGATCAGCCTGCTTTGTGGGGTGAGGGGAGATGGCTGCCCCTGCGCCCCTTGGGCTACATCTCGGTCTCGGAGGTCTCAAGGGAGTGGGTGTGTGTCGTCACTCTGTGTAGCCCTGTCTGCAAAAACTTTTTCCAAGTGTAGACTCCCTCATGACTCCCAGGTTGAGGCTGTGGCAGTGCCCTGCAGGACTTCCGTCAAGGAGAGAGACTCCCACAGAAGTCCCTAGACCCCTGACCCTCCTGCCCTTGCAGCAGTTTAAAGCAGCCAGGTTTACGGTTTAAAGGGGGGGAAATGGGGTACAGCAGCGCTTTGCTTGGGATGATTTCAGAAAGAGCTGTCTTAACTGGAGTGCCCATATAAGTACAAGGGGTCTGAAATGTCAGCAAAACATGCCAGCGCTCTCCCCACTGAGTTCTAGCTTCGCTCCATGTGAAATGGCTGAGAGGTTAATCCCTGAAATGGGAATACTTGCTTGGCCTTAAATATGTGGGCTCTGTGGGGTGTATCTGCAATGCAGACCACAAGGAACTTGCCAAAAAATGGTACTGCAGCTTGAGTGCATGCCAGTTTTTGGGTTTTTTTCTTAAACTGTAGAAAAACGGAGAAGAGAATCCACATAGCACCCGGATCCACATCTGCCTAGGGGTTTTTATTCTAGTACTTAAAAGCTGCAGGGCAGCCCTGGGTCCCAGTGATAAGCACTTTGTTCTGCCAAATTAATTCATCCTTGCAATGGCGAATACTCTGCAACTGCTTTTTTTAAAGAGCAAGTAACCAGTCACCTAAATTCCACAAATTATTCCATCTTGCTCTTGAGTCCAGAGCAAGCTGTATAACTAGGGTTGGTAGCAATCCTTTCCCTGGAAATGGGGTGAGCATGTTGTCCATCTGACCTGCCAGCAGTTCTTTATGTGAATGATAGATGTTGCCTTTTCCTGTAGCTTTTTCAGGGGGGGGAGGGGGTTAAGGGATTCATGGTGTTGGCAACTCCTTCAGAGAGGCTGAAAGTGCACTAGCTTGATTGTGCTCCTGGATTGCAAATGCATGTGATGGCTAACAGAGTTTCAGAGTTTTACCTCTCCCCTTCTGTCCTTGTCAACTTGTTTGATGGGGAGAGAGATTGGGAAGTCTGCTTATTATCTGCCGTGTAAAAGAATGGTTTGCCAATTCTGGGTCCTGCAAGGGTCATTGCTGCTTCTGTGTTCTTTAGTGGTTTGTGGTGTTTCACCAGGCATGCCTGGGGAGAAGACTGGCATTCACCCTTCTGTATGGGACTCTTACTGATGACACCTAGTGCTATCTCCAAGCTTCACTCCTGGCAGACAGGCTAATTCTCAAGCCTAACTGCAAGTTGCATCCAGAAAGCAGCTGCCTTGGTATTGCAGGCAGACCATGTTATGGATGAGTCTTCCTTGAGGAGGGCCACGTTCTGCACTGTTGGAATTTTTTAAAAATTTGTCGCCTTAATTTTTGTTGCACTGGTGGCTGCTGGTCCTCAGCAGTTTGTACTGGGCTCTGTAGTTAGCCCACCTCCAGAGATCCTGACCCAAGGGGGAGTGAGGGTGTTGAATATTTTTATTACTATCTGATTTCAGTTGTCCAGTAGAGGCCTAAGACAGGCTGAGAGGGTTGGAAGGAGGATTTGTGAGGAAGCTAGCAGGCCTGAAGTCTGCCCCAAATGACAGCTAACTTACCAAGTGGTATCAAAATAAAATTTCTGAAAGTGAAACTATGTTCCTTCTGCCAAGCCAGGACCCAAAATAGCTAAGGCAGTTCATGCTCTTTAGCCATAACCATCTACCATGCAACCTGTAATGTATTTCCAAACCTTTCTTCAGCTAGTCCACCTGCAGTGTGCTTTAAAGGTTGCTTGTCAGTTCTTGATGCTCTATAAGTCTTTTGCAAGCAGGTAGGACAGAAAGCATGAGGTGAGAAACTGTCTGGATCTGCACTAATGAACAAATAAAATTCAGACATTTGTGATGGGCGAAGGCATTGAAAACTGGACAGAAGACCTTCAGACTTGAAAAATGATGCCATCAAGTTGCCAGTGTTTTTAAATATCCATCTTCACATTCCTGTAGATGGATGCTATTTCTACTTTCAAAACTGATTCACTGGAAAGAGGCCTATATGACATCTTTCACTTCACAGATTTTTAAACCCCCTTGTTTTTAAATTTGATGGAACTCATTAATGCTTGTCTTGAGTTCGTGACCTACAAGTGAGGCAGAAGTTTTCCATTTAAGGTGGTTCAGCAGAGCCCTATCTAATCATCTTGGAACTTTCGTAGCCAGTGTCTCCAGTTCAATCCAGAGCAAGAAGCCTCATCCAGGTTTATAAAATGTTAGTTGAAAATAGCTGTCCATTTTATGGGCTCAGTGGCTTGTCTTTAGTGATTTAACATATGTTGCCTGAACTTAGACTTTTGATTCTAACTTTATAAAATTATGTTTCTTCTAATATTTAATACAGAAGGTATTCATATATTAACTGGCTAATTGAGAATTATCACCAGGAACATTGCTCCAGTTCCTGGGAAGTGCTTAAGTGGTAGGGAGGCTTCACTGTGATATGGCAGGACCCTGTAATGTGGATGGGGCTGCTGTAGATAACAGGGATTGTGAATATTTGAGGCTGTATTGCTTAGCAGAAGGAAATGACCTACATAATAATAACTGTGTGAGTGTGCATAGAGGCTTGGCTAAAACATACACAGTGGAGCAGAGGGGTGGAGACTGAAACTTGCAGTTCTTGCAAAGCTCAGGCTGCGCTGAGGACAGACAGGAGGAGCTAGCTGCTGCATTGCATTTCTGTATGTAGGCCTGGCCACACTCCAGGTAACTAGAAATTCTTGTTGAATGCATCTGCTGAAAGAAGTATTTTTCTGTGTTTCCGCTAGTATTTCAGAATACAAACCTGACTCTTCATCATTAACCCATAGATATCAACTTGAGTTGATCAGAAGAAGATTCAATGAAAGATTATTTTTCTTAAGGAAAGAACCTTGGTTTTAAATTAACTATAACTTGTTTTGCTATTGGTTTGTATTCTTCTTGGTTTGCATTCTTCTTGGCTTGGGTAAGAAAATCAAGTTACCTTGGCAAGAACCTACCAATTGGGAACAGTGCAGTGTTATAGTAATTGCTGGAGACTGCTTCAGAGCTCCTGCCATCACTATGAGAGAGAATCAGAGAAGAGTATAAGTTGTGGCTATCCCCTGAAATGCCCTAGGCATGTACTAGGCGTGGGAGACACCGCTAATTGGAATAATGTTACATGTGTGTTCTGAGAACAAACCTCCCCCAATCCTAGGCCACCCCAGCTCTGGATAGGTGGTGTTGATTTGGGGTCCATAGTTCAGCCAGTAGGAACCTGGGCCATGTAATAGGAAGTACACAGGAAGCAGGAAGATGTGGCACAGGGTGAGGTGTCATATCCTGTTAAAGAGATTTTTAGCTTGACAAAGTCCCCTGTGGCTTTAAATGGAACCAAAGTGCAGCTCAGAGGGACATATGCATATGCTCTTCTGTACAGTCTGGTGTTTACAGGAGGTGTGACTTCTGTGCTGACGTGAGAGGACTTTCTGTAGTCGTTTCTGGACTGGTGCTAAAAATGACACTTTGTGAAAAGCTAATGACTATTTTAAGGGCTAATATTGCCGTAGATCATAGACATGCAGTAATACTGTAAAGAACAGGGAAAATGTCTTTCCAGTTCTAAGCCATGTGTGTTTATGGTCTTGGTAGCCTCTGGCAATACAGTATCAGACCTTTGAATTTCATTCCCGTTTACCAGTATTTCTGTCCAGAGTCATTAGGGAAGTGAGACCTAGGACTACAACCAATGAATGCTTTGTTCAGCACTATTCTCCAACTCTTGTTTTTCTGGCATGACTTTCAGTAGTTCATTTTCAAAACAGAAGGCAGGAAGCATATTGGAGTAAACTGTTCACAAATGTGGGGTGGATACCGGATTTTTTTTTTCTCCCCCCATCCCAAAAAAGCCCCAAAAAACAAAAAAAAAAGATTCTAAGTAGTGTTTGCAAGTGTCAAGTTATTGTAAAGGGTAAGGTTGATAATTTCTTCTTGGTAATAAAAAAAAAAAAAACTACACTCCCATACATACGTGACTTCTGGTGAAATGACCAGTTCCTGTTTCAGTTCAAAGAAACTTGTGACTGCCTGCTCAGTTTGTAGGGGGCGGGGAGGAAGGAAGCAATTGACTACAGTAGAAGTAGAACAGTAACCCATGTATTAAGTTTGTGTAAATAAATATATAAAAATGCTGAAATTTACACTCATTTCTAATGATTAGTGATTTTGCTGCACTGTGTTCTGCAAAGGAAAAAGAAAGAGTATTGATTGCTGCTTAAAAGTTCAATGTGCCTTGCTTTTTTTTAAAAAAGTGACTGGCTGTGACAAGTAGAACAAACTTCCAGGGCCAGTAAACTTCTAAATGTTTTAATTGATCACAGGTCCAGCGCAACCTTTTTATTCTTGCCCCTTGCTTGGCAAGTGTTATGATGTCTGCAATGAAAAAAGATGGAAATCAGTAGCATAGAAAAACCTGGCTCTTCTCACTGATGCAATCAAAAGCATGGGGAAGTGCAGGAAGATCTGGAAAACTTGTGCTGCAGCCAGCTATCAAAAATTGAAATTACTATGTCCTGTATTGGATCTATAGAGTGTTTGGTCTTGTTTTTATCACCAGCTCATTTTCCTTTTGAGGTAATATTTTAATTAATAAAAACTAATGGTTTCCCCCCTTCGTCTTTCAGAGTACTGGACTACTTTCCTCATCAGCCAAGAATGGCAGTGGATGTAGCCATGCAGCTCTATCTGTGCTCCTCCCCCTTGAGAAGAGAGAAGTACTCCTATAAAATAGCCCCAGAGCTAAACAAGCCATTGCGTCCCTGCCTTCAGTTGAACAGCAAGACTGAGCTAAACAATCCTGGAGAGGCAACTACTGTTCTGCAGGGAAATAAGATGAAAAAGAGGGTGTCATTTGCTGACAGCAGAGGCTTGTCCCTGACGGTGGTGAAAGTGTTCTCCGAGTTTGATGACACATTGGATATTCCATTCAACATCACAGAGCTAATAGACAATATTGTGGGTCTGACAACCGTAGAGAGAGACACCTTTGTCTTAGATTTTGTGCAGCCTGCTGCAGACTACCTGGACTTCAGGAATCGTCTCCAGGCAGATTCTGTCTGCCTTGAAAACTGTATGTTAAAAGATAAGTCTATTGTGGGCACAGTGAAGGTAAAAAATCTTGCTTTTGAGAAGACTGTAATGATAAGGATGACATTTGACACCTGGAAAAGCCACACAGACTATCCATGCCAATATATCAAAGACACTTATGAAAGTTCAGACAGGGACACATTTTCCTTTGATATCAGCTTGCCAGAGAGAATTCAGTCCCATGAAAGAATGGAGTTTGCCATCTTTTACAAGTGTAACGGGAAGGTCTACTGGGATAGCAACAGAGGCACGAATTACAGGATCGTGCAGTCTGAACTGAAGTCTGCTCGGGAAGTGCGGCAACCTCAGGATGACTCTGACTTTGCAAGTGCCTTTGACCAATTTGGGAGTCCTAGGTGTTCCTATGGCCTGTTCCCTGAATGGCCTAGCTATTCAGGTTATGAAAAGTTAGGGCCTTATTATTAATGTAGGTAACAGTCCCAATTCACTAACTCTTGCTGTCCTGGCTGTGAGCTTGGGAGATGGCTTGAACATGCTGATGTTTGCAAGCGAGCTGAAGAAATGACACTTGACATGGCTCTGCAAACTTTGTTGTGGTAAAGCAAGATGACTGGAAGTCAGTGATCACAGTTGGGTTTAATGCCATCTAAACAAGTGTCTTCCCCCTTTCTCCACCCCTCAGCTAAATACTTGGCTCTCAAACCCCAACAGAATGGGAGATCTTGTTGAGTGTCTCTCCAATGCTGCTAATCCTGGTCTGTATAATGCTGCTAGTCTCCTCCAGCCAAACACTGCAGTGTTTGCATTGTTTGCTTAGGTATGTACAGTAGTAAGGTTTGGTTACTGTGTTGCACACTAGTGTTATTACAAGCTTAATTTATATCAGCCGGGTTGGGGTTTGTTTGGTTTTTTGGGAGGGGGGGTTACTGTTTTTTAAACCATGCTCTAATATTTCTGTAGCACTGTGCAACTTGGCTTTGCTACAGTTTTCATTTTACAAAGGCAATTCGTGCTTGACAGGAAACAGTAAGGGCAAACTAGCTTGCAGCAAAGGGAAGACACAAGTGACCTTCTCTCTCCTCCCCCCCCCCCCCTTGTTCCTTTGGTGGGTTTCTT